ACCATCTTGATAAGCCTACAAACACTTGTGACCTTTTGATCACATGTTTTATTCAAATAGTAAACTTGTTTCATTAGATGCTGGTCGTCAATTGAAATCTAATTAAATGTTTTATTATTCAAATTTCGCTAAATAAAAGCTGATTCCATTTAATTTTGTATCTTCTTGCAATAGATTACTTAAATCAAGATTCTAAAATTTTCTCCTAAATTACCTAAAAGATTAAATGTATTGGAAGCAGATTTAATAGATATGCCATTTGAATCTATCTTTGATAATGATGCTATTTAAAATAGTTTCTTTTTCATTTCTTCAATCGTTTTTTATTTTCTGTTTAATAATTCGTAATGTCTTGTGAGTAATGTTCTAATTATATATTAAATAATTTATTCTTATTAAAACTGCTTTTACGTAATGCATTTTCATCAACTTTATCGGTAATAAAGATTTTCTTAATCAAATTGAGAAAATATTTTACCACAAAATATTCTTAGATGGATTTATGACAGAAAGCATAAACGCCACCTTTGGAATTAATCAACACACACTTTCGTAAAAGTCCTTTGTATTCAAAATCATCCTAGATTTCACTAAAATATGAATCAAAATAATTTTCCTTTATTGTTAGTACTTTGGTAATTTGTTGGGATGACATATCAATAGTCAGATACATAAAAAAGTCTTGGGTTTAGTCAAAACTGGCATATAAAAATATAACAGTCTCTCTAGGACGCCTGTAATATGGTCGGCCTAAGGATAGTTTAGATAAAAATACAAATTTGTCGATCACCTATTGGTGTAGGGGTAGGCAATGAAATGGGAAATGGAATAGGTGATGAAATAGGGGATTACATAAGATATTAAATGAATCAATTAATAGGCGATTCAATAGGGGAAAAAAATAAAATGAGATATATGATTATATAGGGGAATGAAATATGCTTTTAAATAAGCTAATAAAAGGTGAGGAAATAGGCGATTAAATAGTGAACGAAATATGTGAATAAATTGGGATTAAATATGCATTAAATGAGCTCATAAATAAACGGCAAAATAGGTAATGATTTAGGAGATGAAATGTGTTATTATATAGGGATGAAATACGGGCTGCGATAGGGGTTGAAATATGCGATTAAATGAACTTATAAATAGGCGATGAAATTGATAATGAAATTGGTGATAAAATAGTGTAAAAAATATATAATGAAATAGGCGACTAAATTGGCGACTATATAAACAATAAAATTGGAGATAAAAAGGCACTGTAAAAGGCGATGAAATAAGGGATGATATATGTGATTAAAAAGGGAATGAAATAAAAAGGGATGAAAATATGAGAAAAAATTAAATTCAAAATACCATATCTATACTTCCAATTAAAAAGCATACAAGAAAAATTGGGGATAAACTCATTATTAATAATTTGAAAAAAAAAATAAAAATTCAGGATATATTCACATTCAAAAAACAGGCATACATGAAAAATTATGATGAGAGGATGAGAAATTGGAGATAATATTATGATGCTGTAATCTAAATTAATTTATAAACAAATATTCAAAAACCATATTTACACTCCCAATATAAAAACGTACCAAAAGAAATTGTGGATCAAAAACAGGGGATGATATTAATAACAATGTAATAAAAATGAAGTTATAAATAAATAATAAGAATAAGAAAATTAATTGAAAAATTAGGGATGATTTTAATAATGCTGTACTTTAAGCATTAGGGGGAAACAGACC